TCAGGATTGACACCACCGTGTTTAGAGGAACACGGAAGCCGAGACGGCGATTTCGTCGTCCGTCGCGCGAGCGGTCCCGTACGCGAACAGTCGGATTCGACAGGTCAGAGTTAACATAGGGAAGAGACTCGAACTACCCTTAACAATCAACAAAGGGTTTATTAAAAATTTAAATGGAATAAAGTGTGGTCGCGGAGAGAGAGAGTTTACATACGATTCGCGTGGCGATAAATACCTGACAGGTTATCTTATGGATCGAGGTCTTCAAACCGCTGTTGACGATGTCACTTCCAAGTTCTGGGTTACGGAAATATCCAAATAGGCACTTAAGTTCGTTGTTACGGTATAATCCAAATAGGCACTTAAGTTCGTTGTTACGGAATAATCCAAATAGGAGGTATTGAACAGGTCAGGTGGATGCTTCTTTTAGAGGAACGGCAGTGACTGTGTCGAAAACCTCCGATTGTCGCTATTTTCATTTGACAGTTTAGCAATAATAGGTCAGAAGGTTATGTGAAAGCGTCTTTTCGCCACTGAGAACTGGCTGAGTAATTAACTCCCAGGTGTGAAATTTGATACTTTCTACATAAACTTACTATTGTTCACGAGTTAGGTCAGGCGGTAGGTTAATAAACACGGCTGAATCTCACAATTTTAATATCAGAAAAGTTACAGTTTATGTAGTTAGAATTATTCACTTTTATACACTATTTGCAATTTGTGATGACTTGTTTTTATTTAATTGTGTTTTATATATTCTTTATCTCAAGATGAAGTTTCTAAAATTTTCATAATTTGAAGCAATAATAATAATATATGATTTTTATTTTAGCGGGAACACTCAGTGCGCATAAATATCATAAAGAAAACCCTGATGAACTTTGCTGTTTAGTTATAGATTCTGGATTCTCATTTACACATATAGTTCCATATATTAAAGGAAAAAAATTAAAGAATGCAATTCGAAGGTAAGAATTTTTATGGAATATATTTTATAATATAATATCATATGTAATATTTTGTAATAATATACATTTATTTAAAATCAAATTGACTTTGATATTTAAAGAGACTAAATTCTCTCTGTTGCATAAAAATTTCTAGATTTCTCAATGTTTGAATGCTTTATATTACTTTACAATATCTACACACAAACTTAACATGAGAAGAAAAAAGAACAAATTTTGTTTAAAAACATTTAATTTTATGTAGAGTAAAATTATGAGTTACAAACTTGATACAAGTACCAAAGCTGAAATAATATAAGTATAACGAGCAATTATTTTATTGCGACATCATAACAGTCCCAGGCTGCAATTTTTAATCATATTTTTAATTTATTTTAATTTAATTCATTTAAAATACAGTATATGCTCTCCACCTGAAATTAGTAGTGGCTTGCCCCTGTACGTCATACTTTTCCTTTAACAATAGAGTTATGCTGATCATCTATCTGACTCCTTTCAGGGAAAATTTTTGAATTGAAATAAAGTGACCACTGGTGCAAATCAGAAATTGTATATAGTTAATCAGGGCTTCTAGATATGGAGCTTTTCAAATCTAGTTTCCATTTTCATCTATCTAAATTCATTCTTGAGATTAAGGAAGGATAAAGAGAGACAGATGGACAAAAGTGGGAATTTATAGGTCTACAGTTTTTTCAAATTGCAGCCCAATAATCCAAAGCATTGCCAACTAGCACAAATTTTTAACATATGTAGTTTTGGATTCTTAAAATGACTTTGTCAGGTTGTTAAATTACATATTAATTTATTCCAAAAAAAAATTCAAAATATCAAACATTTAAAAAATTTAAACTTTATCTGTAGATACATAAATATATTAATATATTTGTAAATTGTACATACTTATAACAGTATAGGATATGTTCTCACTACTACAATCATATTGAAAACATAACTTGTATAATTATTAATATTTTAAAATTATATACAGCATATATATAACCTCCAATCAGATTTCATAAAGCATGGCTGTTGACCAATATTCAAATTTTGGTATGTGTTTTGTTCTTGTTTGATACTTTTTGGTATTTTCATCTAAGGTTTTTTGTAACCTACATAATTATTTATGTTATTTCTAATTACTTTTATTTATATATTTATTTGTATAAATTAACACAAAGGTGATATCATGAGAACAGTTTTAGCCTTCCCCAGTACAATAAACAAATACATAACAAATCCATTTAAAAGTAAATTAAAACAATAACAAGTAAACATATAAAATACATATGAAAACTTAGAAGACAATAAAATTGAATGTTAAGAAGTATATAATATTCTCTTACAATTAGATTTATAAATGTGATTCTTCATGAATAACATATATTAACAGATTTATTATAATGGAAGAATCTGATAGATCTGTTAGGGACATGAAGCATTTCTGGTATAAGTGAATTTAGAGTAATATCTTAGAGTAATGTGGTGTGGTATAAGCAAGGCATTATAGTATTTATATGTAAATAATTGTAATTGAAATATGTTAAACATTTAAAAAATCAAGGCGTCCTAAACAGGTTCAAGAAACGTGTGGAATCAGTTAAAGGCAGATTACACAGTTAATTTAGAATAAAATATAATTTAGAAGTTTTATTTAATTTTTTTTCAATAGAGGCGAAATGGATGCCCAGAAAAACGTAAAATAAAACACAATAAAATTTGTTGTGTTTTTGAGAAACCATTCTTTATCCTGTGACAATACATTGTGAAACATCTCTATAATGGACATTTATAGAGCCTAAAAACTGTTCACTACAGAGAGGGTCTGCCAATAGAGATATTATGAAAATTATCTTTAGATGTTAGCTTACACTGTTTTTATTTATAAACACGTAATATACATCTGTTGGTTCTAGTTCTTAGAAAATATTTCAATAATACAAGTATTACAAATATTTCTGTAAAATGTGGTATCATTTTGCCACCACATTACCATTTTGAGAAATACTGCTCTAGTGTTTTTGAGCAAAGCATTGAAAAATGTGTTTTACACTGCTACTAGAGGTTAATTGCTTGATTTTACTGGAAAAGTTATAAAGAGTTGTCTATGCCTACATAATCTGGAAAGAGAGTTAAGCACATGATGTTTTTGAATTCATTTCAAGAGTAATAGGTGTGATGAATGTTAGCCAAACTTGTAAAATGATGTTAATGAGTTATGGGTAAATTTTTGAAAAGATTGTTACGCAACCCTTACACATTAGGCATCAATAAAAAAAGAATGTGGGCTCTAAAGTGAAAATATCTGAAAATATGGGTTTTACTATTATTAGAGAGGTTGAGGCGGACGTTTTAAACGTGTAAACGTGTAGGACGGTCGTTCGGTGCGGCTTTCCGTAAGCCTAGAAGTTTGACGATGGTGTTTGGAATGTCGAGCGTGATTCCACCGACTATCCAAACACCATTGTCAAACTTTTAGGCTTACGGGAAAACGGCGCCGAACGTCCGACCTACACGTTTAAAACGTCTGCCTCAACCTCTCTATTGCTAATAATAAATCACAGTATATGATATCCTTAATTAATTACATTAATAAATTACAATTTCAAGAAAATATGAAGTCATCTAAATTTATCATTGTATTATAAAACATTCAAATGAAAAGGACAAGTTTTTGGAAATTTTTCAAAGAAAGTTGAAAAGTCTTCATCATCAGCAAGAAGAAATTACTCAGAAATTCAGTGTAAATTAAAAAGCATTACTAGCAAGTTACAAACTTTCATTTTGTCTTTCAAAAGCAGGTAAGCTTCATGCAATATATGAAAGTCTTATTTTACTAGCAATTGTTAAGATGGTATAAATTAAAGCAGGAAAAAACAAACTGAAAAACCCAAAATTATATCTTTGTCTGATAAAATAACACAACAAAATCTGCAGTTTGGCCAAGGATATTCGCAATCAAATTCTTCATAAAATTAAAAAAGCACATAATCGTTCTCTTACATAATCTTCATAATCATTCTCTTTATAGTTTATTGAATATACAAATATTTCTCATCATTACTGTACAGTACAATTTATATGTTCCACATGATGTGATACATAGGATGCTATCCAAGAAGACATTTTATTTTATAAAGTTTTAAAAGCTAACACAACTGGAAATTGTTTATTTGTAGTAGTGTAAATGTGTAGACAGAGTGCAAATAAGAATGTGAAATAAGTATTGATATATTTCTTTTGGAGTGCTGCCAGCATGGTTTCACACCAAAGTGTGCCACATTAAATTACAAATCGCTCTGAAAGTATGCTATTGACTGAACAAAATGCATTGTTATCTGCTCTAACAGTCTGAATGCAATGAAAAAATGTCAAAATGATCTTATTGTAAGATTGAAAACGACAATGCCAAATGCTACATGGATGCACCAATTGTTATGTCACCACACTCTTGGAAGCAAGTTTTTATTCTCAAAATCAAATTCCAAGTGTATGGATGGTAATTAAAGAAGCAAATTTCGATGAAGGAAAAGTGTTACAAACTCGCATTTTTTTATCAATGTGCAAAGACAAGGAGTCATTACACAAAAGTCTTATTTATTATACAGAGGTTAGATGATTTTTGAGAGAAAAGATAGAGTTTTTGAAAATAGAGTAAAACTTCTGATGTATCTGGAAGACAAGAAACCCAAATATACTGAATTCTTTTAATTCTATTGGTTTCTAAAAGTAACGTATGTTACTGATATTTGAATTACTTAAATATTTTGAATAAGTCTACAAGATTATGATATCATAGTTGGAAATAAAATTAATGAAGAAAATTATCGTTTGGTTAATTACATTGAAGGAAAACAAATTTAATTTGAACAAAAGAAAGAAAGAATATCTTGAAGCTTTAAAAATTATTGGAGCCATTGTATTTGTGTGAATTAACTTTTTTGTCTGTGGTTATAATTGAATTGAGTTCATACTATTCATGTCAAATACAAAGCCAAGATTTGATAAATTGATTAATGAAATATATATTACATTAATTATTAATATATTGATTGATTAATATATATAATGATTAATATATTAAATATTAATATATTGATATAATATATAATGACATATATATTACATTATTATTATTTTATATTTTTTCTGTGAATCACTTGCTTTTAATAGTTGTTTAGTATCCAATAAAAATGAATCTTTGCTTAAAATGTTTTTTTTTCTTTTTATTTAATTTTGAAAGCCTTCACATCCCACACTTTGCAACACACTGCTTCAGTATTCTATGCAGTTTATTAGTAGTGGAGTGTCAAATCTGTACATGTATTTTTGAGTTTTGGCTTTCTCATACGATTAATTGTTCACAGGAACATTATTGTATGTGATTTTACCAATCAAAGATTGGTTGTCTTAATTGAAAAGTTATATTAATACAAAACAATAATTTTAAATGTATTTATTTATATGTTACCGCTAAAGCTCGAAATCCGTTAATGTGTACATTACCTAGCTAATCTGCAGATTAACTAGGGTGATCCGTTAAAGCTGCGAAAATTGTTCAATTTCTCAAATTACCTAGGTAATTTGCAGAGTATCTAGGTAATCTGCACATTAACGGCTTCCGTATCGTTAAAGTTCAAAAGTTTGTTTCTTTCACTTCCTTTCCCCACTCCTTCTTTTTACGTAGATAAATTTAAATCCTAGAATGCAAGCAAGCACCGAATTGGTGAGTA